TAAGGGTTACTTTTTGAAACAAAGCATGTTAGGAATCACGGACCCTCCACAATTGTATGATATTGTCTAATTTGAGCCCAAGCTCTCGTGGCTATGCTTTTGGTTTCCCCAAAAAGCTTCATATCAATGGATATGTATTCCTTATGAACTAATGATCTTCTTCTTAATTAGCCAACGTCAGACTCCCTCCCATCGACCCTCCCCTTGAACAAAGTACACCATAGAGCTTTCTCTGAAGCGTATGGAGCCCTCAAATAGCCTCCTCATAATTGAGGCTCGACTCCTTCTCTAGAACCCTCGAACAAAGTATACTCTTTGTTCGACACTTGAGTCACTTTTGACAACACTTTCGAGGCTCACAACTTCTGTATTTGGCACTTGAGGATTCTATTGACATATCTAAGTTAAGGACATGACTCTGGTACCATCTTAGGAATCACAGACCCGACCCTTCATAATGGTATGATATTGTCGATGTATTCTTTATTTATAAACCCATGATCTTCCCTTTAATCAGCCAACAAAGACTCCCTCCCAACAATCCTCAACAAAGCACTCAATAAAAGAAACTTAAAACACAAAAAAAAAATATGGTTGCACAGAATATGCAGCCTTGCTACCCTTTCGACCATTTCGGTGCCTTATTTGTTTATAAAATGGATAGTTTCTTACGAGTTCATATTATCTTCTGCGTCTTTTGATTTCAAATTAGTGTCATCGTGATGTATTAACCTACCGTCTCGATGTGAATTCCGAGCATATTTAATGTTCTTGCATCTGCAGTAGATCCATTACTGACCTGTTTCTTCCAACCCTTCAACTCTCCAGGAATATCCGAAACAGATAGGGCGTCAACACGGGATTAAACATCGATGGAATGACTTTTTCGTATGACTCTATTGTCAATATAATTGTATTTTATCATTTCATAAAACTCTGCTCCGAGCAATTCTGCCGAGTCTTATCTATTTGTAAAGAAACTAACACGAGTTTTTCCAGGAATTCATCCTGTTCTGTATATTTTTGTACCATTGGTATGAAGAACAGCAAATGCAAGTTAAAAGGGGATGTCATGAATTCTATATATTAGGTGATGAATAACTTTGTATTCCGTCTCCTACAAGTGGATTGAATTTTTGACCTGAAACTTCATACACATTAAAGGATTAATATATTATTATATTTGTTTTGATCATGTTCTCTCATTTTTTACCTAATTTTATACTATAATTTACGTAACCTTTTTTTTATGTGGAAACATTTATTTAAAATACAATTTCATAAAAGGATAAATATTTATATGATGCCCGAGATTAATCTAGGATCTACTAAGGTTATTTCATATTGGAGACATACAGAGAATATAAAAAGAATACAAATTCATCTACACAAATATAACCATGTACAAGAACTAGAAAGCTTTACTAAATCTCAAGCAAGGAAACAAGACTGTTTAGAAGTACGATCCAAAATTCAACCAGTTATCCAAGTTTATCGTAACACAAGTAGACACTCAAAAGAAGACAACCCTTCGCTTCATCATGGGTCTCTGAGAGGATATCCATCCAAAATTCAACCAGTTATCCAAGTTTATCGTAACAAAAGTAGACACTCAAAAGAAGACAACCCTTCGCTTCATCATGGGTCTCTGAGAAGATATCCAAGGGTTGGTATCCCGCATTATACCACTGCCATCAAGGCGACTACCCTACTAAATATGCACCGTAGAAGAGCAAGACGGTGGAGTAGACCCACTCGGGACAAAAGAGGAGATTGGACAAGAACTCTTCTTGATCGCACTAACGGTCACAAAAGCAATCAGACAACAGTCAAACATTAGAATATTTACTAAAATCACTCCACCTAAATGATAGTGAAATTCTCTATTTATAATCCTCAAATAAATTATAAAATAAATGGAAAGAGTAATAAATTGATACAAGATATTTGCCTACAATAATAGATCTATGGATACGAGATATTTGCCTACAATAATAGGTCAAATATGATACATATGATAAACATAAAGAAATATTTGTCTATAATAAAAGATCAAATATGATATATATGGTAAACTATAATTCATAACTAAGTATCCTTATCAAAGCAAAGTAGAAGTCTCTAAGCCCAGAGTGTGAGAGAAAGCATGAAGGAGAATTTTTGGCTGAAACAATGCCTTGTTTCAATCGTAGTCAGAATGACATTAGAGTACTCGTACAAAAAGAACCAAGGTAATAGAATGACGGGCTAAAACCATAATCATAACCAACGAGACTGAGAGGTACTGCAAGGGCAAGTGATCGCTTGCGATAGTATATATTAAAATGACGTAAAAGTTTACAAATATAAGTGCAAGTATACACAGTCATAATAATAAGGAAATACTACCGATTCGTCTTTAAGAAAAAAAAAAACAAAAATATTCCACCGTGGAATCCCAATCAATTGGAGGGTGTTCTTGAAAAGAACAAAACAAGCTTTCAAACATACATTTGATATTCAATCATTTTTCAAAAACACTCATGTGTTCAACAAACTTTCCAAGGTTCTCCAAAATCACCACAACTTTATCTAGATTTGACCTTCTCAATCCAATCCCACACTTTGTTTCCCCATGTGCCATGTTTCAAGGGGTAAAATTGTCATTTTACCTTCTTATCAACGTGTCTGTTAACTTCAGCCATGTGATAGTCTTTTTACCTTCCTATCAACGTGTCTCCATTTCAACCTAACATATTTGTCAACATACACGACGTAAAATTTATTAATATATCAACAAGACTCATCCGTCTTATAAACATATTTGTCAACACGATCAGTGTCTTTTTCAACATCAAAAACATTGCACGAGAAAGCAAAACTTCTATCATTACCGATGCAGAGGACTAGCACTAGATTCTTATTTCAAAAAAGACTTATCATCTTAAATAAGTTATAGATACCCGTCAATCACTTCAATAAATAATTTTTTTAATAAATTAATTAGTCGTACTAATCTTATTTATCGCTAATAAAATTATATTAATATATATCACATAGAATATGCCCAAAAAGACCACTAAATGAAATTTGGGAGATGTACCTACAAGACATAGTCCCACTTTGATTTTTAATATTCCATTTATCTTTTAAAACTTTTTATTTCTTTATTATTATTTTATTTTTAAAAAATCAGATTAAATCAAATAATTAGAGATATATTTATAAATTTAATACTTTTATAATAATTTATTAATAAAATGATATTAAACTTTCACGTTTTTGAGTGTATTTAGCGGTTAATATAAATAATGGCGTACTTGACACTGATGGAGGCATACTTTGGAACGAGATTCCAATTTTTGTAGATATATATTTAGCACATACATTGTTGTGAACTGGCTTTACGATGAAACTCCCTTTAGTACTTATAATACCGTCTCTACTTCATATCCCGCAAAAGAGTTTAGTAGTAGAGTATAGCTCATCGTAGATTTAACCTTACATGCTAACGGTCTTAGTACATACAGGTTATTTTTTAAGAGAATGAACTCTACGTTTGTAGAAATTGTTGGATGCAGACTTCCTAAGTGTATTCCAACGATGTAGAAGTTTTTCATGCAGTGTTCCAACACGTAGAAGTTACTCTACAAAATTTTCCTCGTTATGAATTGAATATGAGGTTAAGGTTCGTAGGAGCTTCTTGAAAGGAAATTTCCAAGAGATTGGAGAAGAAGGGCTTTATCGAGAGTTCCCGAGAAATTGTAGAATTAGATTTTGTTCAACTCAAGAGTCGTAGTGACAGAGATTTTTAGAGAATCTTTCCCAAATAAATTATATAAATATCTGACCTATTAACACATAAATATCATATTTACTTACTTAAATTTTATCCAAATTTCAAATGTGAATCAAAATATAATGTATTTCTCTCTTTTAATATATCTAATATATTAAATATTAATCGGTACACTTCAAACTAAAAATATTTTCTATTTATATTTAATATATCTAATATAAAATAGTTAGACGGTTATGTACTATAGAACAAGTTGGGTCTATTAATATAATCATTACAAACAAGTCGATCTTTCGCGAGTTGTTTGTAATTATATGTAGATCAAATGTTCGTTCTGTTGGATGATGAAAGTCCCACATCGGCTAATTTAAGGAATGATCATGAGTTTATAAATAAAGAATACTCTCTGCATTGGTACGAGGCCTTTTGGAGAAGCCCAAAGCAAAGTCATGAGAGCTTATGCTCAAAGTGGACAATATCATACCATTGTGGAGAGTCGTGTATCCTATAAAATATTAATTGTGAACGATTTGAATTAAATAATTTGATATAATAGATAATCACTGACGTTCAGATCTAACAGAACCCGAAAAACGATAAGGAATTGGAAATAGAGCGAATTACATTGATGATCAAGATAAAAAGTAAAGAAATCTCATTTCTAAACCCATGATTCGTCAAGCTCATTACATTGATGATCAAGATAAAAAGTAAAGAAAGATGATTTGATTAACAAACATACAAATGTATACACAAAAATGCAAAGAAACAAGCTCATGACTTCATAACATGTCACTTTTATTTTAATATCCAAAATCTTACTTTTATAAAGGTGGTAACTTTCGGTCGTCAATACCATAATGACTACTATCTAACTATATCTTATAATGTTAAAGATAATTCTCTATAACAATAAAACATCGATCTTGTCATCTATCAAGAAATCTTTGTGGTGGGATTAAGGCACCTTATTTAATATCATGTGCTTCCACCAAATTTCTTCAACATTGATGAATCTCGATCGGGAATCATTGATACTAGAGGCTACCAAATTTTCCTCAACGTAAAAAAAAATAACAAAATTCAAGTTTTTTTTTCCAAGATACCCGATCATAACATACTGAAATCAGTAATACATGTATTTAATCAAACACATTAGATAAGTAATTCACGAGAATATAAAAAATTTAAGAAAACCGAAAGAACCCTAAAATCAATTCTAATTAAATAACTTTTTCGATGCACTTCCAAGTCTGAAGTAAGATTAAAGAGTTGAATAAAACGACGATATCATCTTACACTGGGAAGATGGAGGGAATCAACGGTAAAAGAGAAAAACCGACGTATTTGAATTTTGGCGCTTCATTCGTCGGTGAAGAGAGGGCATAAATGTCTTTTCACATTCAACTAGGGCAAAAAAAAAAAAAAAAAGGGTTTTTGTATGGACCATGGTGGGAAGTGGAAAGTAAATTGGTTCTATCTTTTGGAATTTCCCGGAGAGTTTCATATGATCGTTTGTAATTAGACAAAATATGAAAGATTTGAGCTTCCATTGTCGCCCACCCACCAAAGACGGCCAATGCTGCCCCACCATGGCCGCACCATCATCATCCTCTGCCATCTCCTATCGTCCTGTGCTCTTCATCTTCCCCATTCTTTTCTTTCTTCTTCACGTGAGCACCACATGGGTCCCCTCTTTTCGCATTCAATTCTCCACCAGTTGGGTTTATATTATAATCAGGTGAGGAGATTGAGAATTTCGATACGTTTCGTTTATCTTTAGGACCTTTAATACAAGATTACTGTACAAAACTGCTTTAACCCTTTTATTTTGTTTTGATCTTGGACAATTATTGGCCATTCGTGCTCATTCCAGTGGGATTGTTTTCGATTATTGAGCAGGAATAATGATATTCTTCTTTGATTTGTGATTTATGATTACAATGCTTGCTTCTTTGATTTGTTTGGAATCTCAAGCTCTTGGTTATTGGGTTGTTTTAGATTGAGAAGTAAACTTCCATATTGACCAGATTTAGGGTTTGTTGGCCCTATGTTGGGATTGAAAAGAATAATGAATTTATGCCCTAGGAAGGTAGTTGATTTTGATCGAAGCTTTTTGATTTGTTGTGAGATCCCACGTCAGTGGAGAGGGGAACGAACTATTCCTCATAAGAGTGGAAATATTTCCTTAGTAAACGTGTTTTAAAACCTTGAGAGAAAGTCCTTGAAGAGAAAACCCAAAGAGGATAATATGTGCTAGCGGTTTAGGCTGTTACAAATGGTATCAGAGCCAGACACCGAGAGGTGTGCTAACAAGGACGTTAGCCCCAAGGGGGTGGATTGTGAGATCCCATGTCTGTTGGAGAAGGGAACAAAACATCCCTTATAAGGGTGTGGAAACCTCTCCACAGTAGATGTGTTTTAAAACATTGAGGGAAAACTCTTGAAGGAAAAGTCCAAAGAGGAAAATATCTGCTAGTAGGTGGGCTTAGGCTTAGGCTTAGGCTGTTACAAATGGTATCAGAGCTAAACACCGGACAGTGTGCGAATGAGGAAGCTGGGCCCCAAAGGGGGTGGATTGTGAGATCCCACATTGATTGCAGAGGGGAACAAAACATTCCTTATAAGAATGTGGAAATCTCTTCCTAGTAGACACGTTTTACAACCTTGAAGAGAAGCCCTTGAAGGAAAAGTCCAAAAACAATAATATCTACTAGCGGTGGACTTGGGTGGTTACATTTGTTATAACCATTGCTTAATAGAATAAAATATGTTTCAAATGGTAGGTAGGTAGGTTTGAGAATGAGATATTCAATATGAACATAGTTCATTTTGTTATTTCAATCATGGTTCGGATCAAACTAAAAGGATAAAAAATGGTGCGAAAATTCCCGTTGAAACAAGAAATGAAACGCAAAGGAGATTTATCACTAGGAACAGATGTGGGGTACAATACTTGAACTTGATGATTATTGAAGTTGCTATTAATGTCTTAAATGTGAGCATGATCAAGTAGCTCAACTTCTCAAGCAATTAGGGAATAAATCTGTCATGTCAAAAATGTGGTGAGAAAACCCTATAAAATAACCTAAAAGCTCTACCAATTTAGCAGAGAAACCATGGAGAGGAAGCAAAAAGAGAGAAAAGGGCACTTGGTGCTTGTTCCTTGCCCTTTACCAAGCCACATGTCTCCTATGCTTCACTTAGCCAAACTTCTTCATTCTCAGGGTTTCTCCATTACCATAATTCACACACAACTTAACTCTCCAAATGAATCTCATTACCCTGAATTCTCCTTTGAATCCATTGGTGGTAGCATGTTGGAGAGCTACAGTGCCTTTGATGGGGATGTTATGCTTTTTCTTTCAAAACTAAACATGAAATGTGAAACCCCATTTCATGAATGCTTGGTAAAAATGCAATTGCGCTGTCAATACACTCCAATCTCCTGCATAATATATGACGCTGTCATGTATTTTTCTGCTGCAGTTGCTGATGATTTGAAGCTTTTTAGAATTGTTTTGCGGACAAGTAGCGCCGCAAACTACATTGGGCTGTCAATTCTTGATGAGAGTGACTTTGTTTCAGAACCTAGAATGGAGGAACCAGTAGCTGGGTTTCCCTTTCTGAGAATCAAGGACATGCCACTTTTCAGCACACAGAAACACACAAGGGAGGTTCTAACGTGTATTTACAATGGAACAAGAACTGCTTCAGCTATCATTTGGAATTCCCTTTGGTGTCTTGAACATGCCTTGTTTGAGAAAATCAAAAATGAAACCTTGGTTCCTGTCTTTCCCTTAGGGCCTCTTCAAAAGCACTGTAGCAGCTTCTCCACTAATGTCTTAAGTGAAGAGCAGGGTTGCATTGCTTGGTTAGATAAACAAGCTCCAAGTTCTGTGGTGTATGTAAGCTTTGGAAGTGTGGTTACTATGACAGAAGATGAACTATTAGAGATGGCTTGGGGGCTTGCCAATAGTGGCCAGCCGTTCCTGTGGGTGGTGAGGGCTTGTGTAGTCAATGGCTCAGATGGAGTTGAGATGTTGCCTAGAGAGTTTCATGAGGCTACCAGAAGTCGCTGCAGGATAGCTAGTTGGTTGCCACAGCAAAAAATCTTAGCACACACATCAATTGGATGCTTTTTGACGCATAATGGCTGGAACTCAACAATTGAGAGCATAGCAGAAGGCGTTCCGATGCTTTGCTGGCCTCGAGTCGGGGATCAAAGGGTGAATGCACGGTTCGTGAGCCATGTCTGGAGGGTTGGCTTACAGTTGGAGGACAGATTGTTGAGAGAGGACGTCGAAAGCGCCATTCAAACTCTCTTCATCGATGAAGAGGGTATCGAAATCCATAAGCGAGCCAAGGAGTTAAAGAAGAAGGTTGATATCTCCTTGAGACAAGGTGGTGCTTCAAGTGAGTTCTTAAGCAGATTAGTTAAGTACATTAGCCTTCAAGAGACAATGATAAGGTTGTCAAATGCTTGATTAGGCTATAATAATGTAAGCTATGATTTCTCTTATGTAATTCTGCACATGTTGAAATGGTATGTGAAAGCTGTTGTACTTGTTCTGTCACATCACTTTTTGGCTCTGCTTTTTAGCTGTTCTGTAAGAGCCTTTCGAAACTTGGCCTTAAATTTTATCAGAAACAGTGAAGCACGTGGAGAAAATAGGACAAATGCTTCCACTCAGCGGATGCTTCCCAACAGCAAAATGATGAAGACAGCTCAGACTGGCCCATTGCTATCTGTTGGTCTTTAGTAATTTGAACTTTTTCAGGTTCTTTTCTTTCATTTCTATTGCCTTTGGATTCATACTTGGTTCTGTAAATTCTCTTATTCTGACTGTGCCATGTTTTACTTGTGTTGGTATTGGTAAAAGTAGCTGTCTGGGGGGAATCATTTGATGCAGCTGAATCATCCAATGAGTGCTGGTGACTACTGAGTCTTGTTGAACAATGTAAGTTCTTTCTTCCACATGTATTGCTTACAAACTAGACAAGGCTAGGTCTCCAAACTCGTTATCGTACTTAATCGTCGTTTTCTACTACGCATGTTTCTCGTTTCATTGTCTGTTTAGGTCCGTTACGTATCGTTATCAGTCTCATAGTTTTTGTTTCGTTGTACCAGCCCAAGTCCACTGTTAGTAGATATTGTCCGCTTTGGTATGTTAGATATCGCTGTCAGCCTCACAGTTTTTGTTTCGTTGTACCAGCCTAAGTTCACTGTCAGTAGATATTGTCCGCTTTGGTCTGTTACATATTGTTGTCGACCTCACAGTTTTTCTTTCGTTGTAACAGTCCAAGTATATCGCTAGTAGATATTGTCTGCTTGAGGCCATTACATATTGTTGTTAGTCTCACAGTTTTAAAATGTCTCTACTAGGGAGAGGTTTCAAACTAGACAAGGTTAGGTCTCCAAACCCGTTATCAAAGTTAATCGTCACTTGCTACTACGCATGTTTTGTTGTTTCGTTGTACTAGCTCAAGTCCACCGCTAGTAGATATTGTCCACTTTGGTGCATTACGTATTGCTGTCAACCCACAGTCTTTGTTTCATTGTACCATCCTAAGTCTATCGCTAGTAGATATTATCCGCTTTGGCCCATTACGTATTGTTGGTAGTCTCACGGTTTCAAAACTCGTCTACTAGGGAGAGGTTTCCACACCCTTGTAACGAATGTTTCATTCCGTTTTCCAACCGATGTGAGACCTACAATCCACCCCCTTGGAGCCGAGCATCCTCTCTAGCACATTTTCCTGTGTTTAGCTCTCATACCATTTGTAAAGAGCCCAAGTCCACCTCTAGTATTAGATATTGTATATTTTAGCCCGTTACGTATCAACATCAACCTCACGATTTTGAAACACGTCTACTAAGTAGAGGTTTTGTTCTCCTCTCCAACTGATGTGTGATCTCACATTCAAGCTTCTTTTTGTCCAAACATATTGATTCTTAACAACGTTGTTTGTTTTTGATCGTTAGGACAAAACATAGGTTGTCTTTTGCTCTAAACTTTGCATAGCTTTGATGATGCTTTTGTTTATTGCTCCAAATAAGTTAAAAGAAAAACATCTCTATACACTGCTTTTGGAGGACAAAAGCAATTTCATTGGCTGTTGTTTCTTTAAGAAAATGGTGATGTGATTTGGGTGAAAACTGTTAGCTGCAAAGAAAGATTGGAAGTTGTATGTGATAATGATGCTTTGAAGTTCATGATTGTTATCCAACACTTAGAATGGAAGACTGTCACTCTGATTCCAATCATTTATTTGGTAACAAAATGGACGTTTGTGGGTTCACTAGAATCTTTTGTAGAATTATCTTTATTATTTCCATTCATTATTTTATACCATATGCTTCTAAACTTTAGGATATACGCTCAAATTCTTAATTTGTTTTGAAATAATGTTTTCATCGATTTTCAGTGATAGGAATATAACGACGTGGTGGAGACTTGTTAGATACAGAGTACTCGAGTGTAAGTGATTTCAATCATGTGAATCTAACTACTTCACTCTCTAATCAACGAGAAATTACTCTAGAGGAGATAAGAACAAATGTATGGTTGCGGGATAGCAATTGTGCGACATTGTGGACACTTGTTCTAACTCAGCGAACAAGTTAACTGTGTGAAATTAGTAGTTTGTGGATAATCGAGCATGCTTGAGTTTCGGGGTACTTTTTAGAGTAGTGTTTTAGAAAACATGAGCGAGAAAATATATTGAAAACAATTTTAAAGAAAGTAATTGTATAAGCTAAAAATGAGTAGGCAACAACCGTGGATTTGATAGCATATAACTTGAGTAAGAAGAATTGACAACTAGTCACATCCCTTATAGTGCATTATGAGGCATTTTAACCTTTGGGTGTAGACATGATTTTGGTGATCGATTATATATCTCGTATTAACACATGAAATAATACAAATCTATCTAACATGAAAAGTGAGTAAGAAAGGATTTAGAACGGGTTTATTGATACTACATGAAATAGTAAAGGCCTATCTAGACAACATGTTTTGGACAAAAATGATCAAAACATCTGACATGCAACCACAAATAACACACTTTGGATAAGCATGACCATGACAAGACAACATGAAAAACATGAAAATACTAACTGCACCTCCGTCAACGAAATCTATATTAAAACAAGGTCTAACATGGAAATCAAGATCCCAAGACAATTAATATACTTGTTTAAAATAGCATAAACTTTATTCCGTGCGAACATCGTTTCATGGCCTCTAGAGAAGCGATCTTCATCCGACTAAAAGTCCGAATGATGAGAGATATTTTTAATTTGAAGTATTCCAATTCTTAAGGATATTTAGTAATAAATTATAGTTTACCATATATATTATATTTGATATTTTATTATAAGGTAAATATCTAATATTTGCTTTATTATCATACGTATCTTTCCATTTATTGTTATTTTCATTTATTACTATTTCAATATCCTTGTAATTTATTTGATTATAAATAAGATAACTTTCACACTATTTAGGTGTGATGTATTAATCAAACATTCACATGGTATTAGAGCCCTCTCGGTTTAACAACCCCGATTCTTTCTTTTCAATGACTTTTAAATTCTCTAATCTTCTTCTCCACCACCCCTGCTGGCTTTGACGCCGTAGGGGCAGTCTTCATGGCTGCCGTAGTCGGAGCTGATTGATTACTCTTCGGCTCCACCCTATTGACCTCCAAATCACCTTTCGTCATACTCTGTACATACAACCTCACCTTTTCCAACCAAATCGATTTTCCCCTTGGTCAATATAGTCTCTCTCATTTTCTTCCCAATCAACCTTCATCCTTCACATAAACCCTAACCTAAACCTATCAACCTTTTGCAGAGATTTACCTTCGGAATCTAGGTGCTGCACTAGCCTATTCGCCAACCAAGTTGCCGCCGCCCTTCCTGCCAAAATTGGCTTCTTCGCCCGATGAGGCGACTCTTCCGACTACCCTTCTCGCCAAAATTGGCTCCTTCGCCCAATGTGGCGACTCTTCTGGCTTCAACATTGTCTTTGTCCCTTGCTCTAGGTTTCTCCTTCTACTTCTTGGGGTTAGAAATATTCTCACTAGAGCCAAGGTAGCATCGTCGCTAAGCGACAATCCCTCTTCATGGGTTAGACATATTCTCGCCGAAGCCAAGGCAGCATCGCCGCTGAGCGGCGATCCCTCTGCAATTTTTGATGGCCAAGAACCGGGTTGTTAGCATCTTCACGAAAAGTGTTTCTCAACCTCTTTGAATTTTTCAGATTCAAGCTTCACGTTCGTTTAAATCCGACACTTAGCTTGCGGTGAGGTGTTAAGAATATTTAGTAATAAATTATAGTTTACCATATATATTATATTTGATATTTTATTATAAGGCAAATATCTAATATTTGCCTTATTATCATAGGTATCTTTCCATTTATTGTTATTTCCATTTATTACTATTTCCATATCCTTGTAATTCATTTGATTATAAATAAGATAACTTTCACACCATTTAGGTGTGGTGGATTAATCAAACATTCACATGGTATCAGAGCCCTCTCGGTTTAACAACCCCGATCCTTTCTTTTCAATGGCTTTTGAATCCTCTAATCTTCTTCTCCACCACCCCTGCTGGTTTTGACGCCGCAGGGGCAGTCTTCATGGCTGCCGTAGTCGGAGCTGATTGATTACTCTTCGGCTCCACCCTATTGACCTCCAAATCACCTTTCGTCATACTCTGTACATACAACCTCACCTTTTCCAACCAAATCGATTTTCCCCTTGGTCAATATAGTCTCTCTCATTTTCTTCCCAATCAACCTTCATCCTTCACATAAACCCTAACCTAAACCTATCAACCTTTTGCAGAGATTTACCTTCGGAATCTAGGTGCTGCACTAGCCTATTCGCCAACCAAGTTGCCGCCGCCCTTCCTGCCAAAATTGGCTTCTTCGCCCGATGAGGCGACTCTTCCGACTACCCTTCTCGCCAAAATTGGCTCCTTCGCCCAATGTGGCGACTCTTCTGGCTTCAACATTGTCTTTGTCCCTTGCTCTAGGTTTCTCCTTCTACTTCTTGGGGTTAGAAATATTCTCACTAGAGCCAAGGTAGCATCGTCGCTAAGCGACAATCCCTCTTCATGGGTTAGACATATTCTCGCCGAAGCCAAGGCAGCATCGCCGCTGAGCGGCGATCCCTCTGCAATTTTTGATGGCCAAGAACCGGGTTGTTAGCATCTTCACGAAAAGTGTTTCTCAAACTCTTTGAATTTTTCAGATTCAAGCTTCACGTTCGTTTAAATCCGACACTTAGCTTGCGGTGAGGTGTTAAGAATATTTAGTAATAAATTATAGTTTACCATATATATTATATTTGATATTTTATTATAAGGCAAATATCTAATATTTGCCTTATTATTATACGTATCTTTCCATTTATTGTTATTTCTATTTATTACTATTTTCATATCTTTGTAATTTATTTGATTATAAATAAGATAACTTTCACATCATTTAGGTGTCGTGGATTAATCAAACATTCACACCCGTTAATATGTTAAATATATTAAATACAAATGGAAAAATATATATTTAATTTCAAAGGTTTCACTTTTTAATATATTTATGGAGAAAAATATTTAATATATTAAATATATTAAACAAAAATATATTTATTGTATTTTATATATTAAATATTAAAATAATGACTATACGAAGGAGATTCAACCCGACTTATAGAAGAATTTAATTGATAGAGGAATTGGTAGATTTTTTTTTCTAAATAAATTTGCTTAAACCATAGTTTGGTTTAATGGTAAATAAATTCAAAGTTGATTCTAATACTTCCGCTTCACAAATGAAGTGTTTATTCCCGACACCTCATGCTTAATAAACGTTACAAGTATGAGATACTTCTTCAATATCTTTTTTATATAGACGCTACACCATGATGTGACACACACTCCTTTCCTTCTATTGATTTTTAGTAGCTTGAGCGTGCGTGAGCCTGTAGTCAGGTTTAGAGGGTACGTATACAAGCCCATCTAGTAGATTCATACGCGCGTGCATGAAATCATGTATAGATGATATACTACACATCCAACCCTATTCGGAAAGAGAAAGTAGAGCCTAAAGAACCGTCACAAAAAGATAGGTCCCACCATTGACTATGATTTGCATGCAATTGCATTTTTACTGAATATTTTTAAATACTCAAACCACGACAACATCTACCATGGAAGCTATGAAAGTAGTCAGAATACGTGATGAGGGCATCTGCATTGGTTTTAAATTTGATAGGAGAAGTCGTTTTTTCCTATTTTTAGTTACACTATCTTTGATGTTACAGTTCAATTTTAAATGAATTTTGTGAACGTAAATTTGAATGATTTTTCAAACTAGTAATCATGACATGCATGGAGTAGCGGTTTCATTACAATTTTCATCACTATAATTTCAATTAATTAAAAATAAAGCTAAATTAATAAATACCTTTAAACTTTGAACGGGTCTAATAAAAATATAAAATTTCAAAAATTTCAATTATACTCTAAACTAAAAAAAAAAAAAAAATTAAAAATACTCAAATATAGTTTAAAAAAGAACTTTTAAAATTATTTTTAAAATTTTAAAATTTTCATTAATATTTTTAATTTTTTTTTAAACTTCAAAAATACTTTTAATCTTTTTATAAAAGATTTAAAAATACATTTACAATTAATATGCAGGTAATTTTTTTTTTAACTTTTATTTATAAAGGTAAATAGTATTAATGTTATTCGAGTATTTTTTAAATATAGTATTAATAATAAAGATTTTTTAAAATATTTTTACAAAACTTACCCGTTATCCCAAAATATTTTGGGCTGGATAAATTTGAAGCCCATTATGTAAAGCCCATTATGTAAAGCCCATTATGTGAAGCCCAATTAGGCGATGCAAAAGGGGTTTATCCTCCTCATCAGCCGAAACCCCAACCTCAGACCTCCCTCCATTTTTCAGCACAAAAAGACCTTTCATGGCGCTTCGCAATCTTCTTCATCTTCTTAAAACTCCTCCTTA